CCAGTGCTCTTAACCTCTGAGCCATCTCTCCAGCCCGAGTTATAACTTTTTTTAACCCTACCCAATTTGTGAACTGGGACTCAAACTTGGATCCTCTGCAAGATAATAGAGGTTCTTAATCTTTTATCTGTATCTATAGCCTCATATGATATTTGTATAGATAATTTATTTACATAATATTTTTTTTGAAATTACAGTGGATTAGATATTAACAGCATAGAATAAATATTTACAAAAATATATAATATATAATACATACTAAAACTCTTTTTTATGAGAGTCTGTGAACATTATCAAATGTCTGTAGACATCAATTCAGTAATCATAATGTACCAATCAATAATAACAAAATAGAAATGATGTCACTATACCAGTAAAAAGTTGACTTCTGATCAAGAAATGTGGTCAATTTACAAATAATTCATTGCTAAAAAAATTTTTCAGAAAAATAATATATCAATTCTATCTATATATGTGAATTTCTGTAATCTAGTTTCTATTGCTGTGATGAAACCAAGACAAAAATCAACTTGAGATAGAAAGGGTATATTTGGTCATAGTCAATTTAGATAATCCAAAGAAGGAACTCAAGGCAGGAACATGGTAGCTAAGTATACTTTGTTATACCACCCAGGACCACCTGTTCATGGGTAATATCATCAACAACAATGATCTGGGACCTCTGACTTCAATCATTAATTGAGAAAATGTCCTACAGCCGGGCTTCTCTGTAGGCCAATCTTACAGAGGTATTTTCTCAATTGAGGTCCTTCTACCAAGAAGATGATGAATTCTATCAGTTTGGTAAAAAAAAAAAACAAAAAAAAACATAACTAGAATATACTTCTATTAATAGAGTGTCAAGAAATAAAACCAGTTATATATACAAGAAGTAATAAATATATCCACAAAGATAAATCCTGTATTACATAGAAATTGACAGAACAAATAGAAAATAAGTAAGCACATAGAATACTTAAACATCATCAATTTGATCAAAAGTGATGTTTATAGAACATTTTCATAAGCATATGAGATACAAAAGCACTTTTTCATATTGACATGAATAATTAGAAAATAAATAGCTGAAATTGTATTTTTATATGGTATTCTGAATAATTTCCCCCTAAAATTGGAACTACAATGTAGTTGACCACTTTGACAACTATTCAGTGTAGTACTATAAAATCTAGCTATGGCAACAAAGCACAAAAAGAAACAAAGAAAGAGTAATTAAAAAGAATGAAATGTCTATACTCGCAGACATATTGGACTAGTTAAAACTAACAAAGTGTGTGTGGCATCTGCATACTGGAAATAAAATCCTAATGAAATAAATTGAAGTGTATATAAATGAACTGAGATATATCAAGTTCACTGCTAGGAAAAGTGAGTATTATTATTATATCAATGGCCCCAAATTGATATCTAAATTCAAAATAATCTATAAAAATTTTCTACAAAATTCTCAGATGGCATTGAGAGCCACTGGTAGTGAAAGTCCATGAGAGTATACAGCAGTGACAACTAGTGTTCAGAAGGTCAACCTATCAGAACTAAGGGTTCTGTTAGAGGAAACCATCACACAAGGTGTTATGGGATTACTGCCTTTTGAATGAACTGGCTGTCTCTTATTATAAACTTCTTGTGCAATAACAGCTATGAGTCTCCCCATTTTCCATGCATCTCCATGTTATGTGTACATGTAATCTCACGATTGCATCTCAATCTTGGGCACAACTTTCCCTATACATTTGGGGTAATTGGACAACGGTCCCCAGCTGCATTTATTTTTCATTAACATATATCTGGCTAGGGCCATTCTCTGGACAAAAGTATTTCAGCAAAGATACCTTTTTCCAAGGAAAAAACTGCACATAGAAAAACATTAGCTCATCTCACTCATAGATAGAGAAAAGAACCACTAACAATTAAATCCTCAACTCCTTACCTTCACCCCGGGTTATTTACACAAGACCCTAATTTAAGAGATTTACTGCTCACATTCCTGGGATGAAGTTTTAGCCATTTGCTAGATACTGAGTTAAGGCAGTTACTTCCCACTGACCCAAGGAGATTGCCTCCAGGCCAGGCATGAGATAGGTGCCAAGCTTCTTTCTTGTGCAAATTAAGTTTTTATTCCTCCTTATCCAGGTGCTATTCCTAGATTTTCTCCTCATCAATTACTCTGAGTGAAAGTGCTTTTACTAACCAAATACTACATGCTCTGACATAGGTTGCTTAGCCACCTAGCATATGTTCCCCCTCCCTATCAGAAAGCAGCTGCAGCTGGGACAAATGGGAAAAGTGGTGGCAAAGACAGTTTACTTTCTTGTGACTTATTTACCACTCTACCAAGCCATTTCTAGATTATAGTTTGAGCACATAAATTTCCCAATTTGTCTTAGCCTTTAGTTGACCCTACCAGACAACTCCCCTTTAGTCACTCCCCTTTTGGGATATAATTGGAAGCTGACAATTAATTGCTTTATGTATGGGTCCTTATCACCTCTCTCTGCATCCCTGAAGACTTCAAAGCCTCGCATTGCTTTGCCAAAGAATTACTGTGTATATATACACTGCTTCTCTGATAGCAATAGAGGAAGAGAATTGATGGAGAAGAACAAAGATGAGGACAACCGAGATGGAAAGAACTAGGTAGAATGATGAGAGAACAGCAGAAGGGACTGAGAGCAGGAGGGACCGAGAGGAGCTAAGTAAGAGAGCAGAAAAGAAGCTGTGCAGATAGAATCGCCAGAGAAGAATAAAGTGAAGGGACTAAAGAACTCAGTGTGCATAAATTCATTGAATATCCCTCAGATCAGAATCCTCATCTGGTTGGTAGACTCTTCCGCAGACTCTGGGAGCAAACATTATAGGCTGAACCTAATATCGTTTGCGTTAAGATGTAATTTCCACCAAATTTCCAGATAGGTTTTTGTTGTTGTTCTATATAATTAAAACAGATGTATAGTTTATATAGAAAGATATAAGTTTTAAAACTACCAAAACATTTTTAAAAGAGAAAAACAATTTGGAGGATTAATTTGACATAATCTCAGCATTTACTGGAAATTACCACTAATCATGGCAGTGTACTATTAGCACAACAATAAATATGTAGGTCAATAGAAGACAATGCAGGAACTAGTCAATACATAAATACACTGAAGTGATTTTTTTGTACTAAGTTGTGAGATCTATGAAGAAAATATAGACTTTTCAATAAATAGCAATGGAACAATTAATGGTACACAGGCAAAACCAAAATAAAAAAAAAATTGATCCACGCCTTTCATCTTATAAAAGCATTAATTCAGAATCAATTCACAGTATAAGTACAAAATGTGAAACCATAAAACTGCTAATAGAGCATGAAGAGATGGCTTAGAATTTGAAGTGTTTGTTGTGTAAGCAAGAGGACCAAAGTTTCGATTCACAAAATCTATGTAAATATAAATCTTGGGAAGGTGTTGTGTCCTGCCTGGAAATACAGAGTGGGAAGCAACACAGAGAAAGGGGTACTTTCAAGGAAGCTAGCTCCAGAGACTAGCCATATTGGCAGTAAAGTAGGTTTGATTGAGAGATTTTGCATCAAAAAGAGAAGGCAGAAAAGTGTGGAAGACTCACAATATCAAGCTTGTTCATACATATATATTCATATACATGAAAGTGCATCCACACACATGTACACCATGCACATGTGAACATATGTAAACACATATGTGCAGCCACAATTCACTCATTTTCATAAAAAGAAAGAAAAATGTATTGGAAAATATTAAAAAATGCTTGCCTTTGGATTAGGACAACCTCTAAAGGCAAAGTATGTATAACTGAGAGAAGTGAATATTAAAGGTACATTTTAGATATTTATTTCATTCATTCATAGCTGATAATATGATAGCTGATAATAATCTGATTTATTATTTCAACAAGAAAGTTGGAGCACCCTAAATAGAATATTTACAAGCTCCTTCTTCTAATCTCTGCTTCCAGTTTCTTACCTCTATTCTTTTTTATGTTTGTATCAATGACTTGTTCCAACTGCAAATTAAGGTCATTCACTGCAATTGTGTGTTAGACCTATTCTCTTTGTCCTTTACTTTGACACATTGCTATAAACTTATCCACTTTAATTTGCATCACATCACTCTTTTGTTACTATGTGATTGTGTTCAGCATAACACATATCACATTAAAAATTTCCTCATAGAAAAGGAAGTAGACAAAAAGTCTCACTCATAGACAAGAAGTTATTTGCAGTAGATATGTGTTGGGAGAAAGAAACTTGGTTTTGTTCATTGTAGTGATTCTGGATATATTAACCACACTCCAGGTTAAGATATCCATGAGTAGTTGGCAAACACAAATTGAACTTAGTATTTTTACTTGTTTGTTAGTTTTAGTTTTCTGAAGAGATAGAAATATCACAGAGTTGGAAGGTTAGGGAAGTAAAAGATTTGGCAGTAGGTTAGGAGGGGAAATAATATGATTAAAATATTTTGTATAAAAACCTCCAAGAATAAGTAAAAAGTTTTATCATAGGACCAATCAAGTATTATAATCCAGCAACAGTGAATGTATTTCTCTTTATATTTGGCCACAAAAATAATTGTTTCATTGATATTTCTTTTTTCCCCTTACGTACTGTTTTATTTCCTTTTACAATGTTCCTACAATTGGTTTTGAAGAGACAAGAATGAGAAGACAAGTAGTTTTATATACAGAAGCAACAAATGGAAACGGATGATTTTAAAATTTATAGTTTTCAGAGTCCTAGTTTTACATATGTGGTTTTCAAATTTACTCCTTAGTATTTCATTCTTTTCCTGCAATTATAAGTGACACTGTATTTGAACTAATTGACTAAATGGAATTAATTTAATTTATACTGTCTTGTTAATTGGTGTGGTGTTTCTAAAACCCTTCTGTGTATTACATGGATTTTACATATATATGATCATGTTGTTTTCATATGGAAATATGACTATGGTTGTCTTCTAATATATTTTGTTTGACTTTCTACCTATATTCATTTTCTTGGGCAGCCATCAGAAAAACAGAAACTTGATTTTTTTCTTTTCTCAACAATACATCCCTACTGCAATTTCCCCTCCCTCGATTCATTCTAGTCTCCCCTCCCCGAATACTGCCCAAACCTCCTGCACATCCACTCCTCCTCTGTTTCCCTTCAGAGAAGAGTAGGCCTCCCAGGGATATCACTTAAACACAGCACAACAAGATGTAGTAAGACTATTCTCAAACACTCATATCAAGGCTGGAAGAGACAACCCAGTAAAAGGCAGAGGATTCTAAGAGTTGGCAAAAGAGTCAGAGAAAACCTACCTCCCACTGTTATGATTCCTACAAACACTCAAAGCTAAACAACCACAGCATATATGTAAAGGACATAGTGCAGGCCCACGAAGGCTCTGTGATTGGCAGTTCAGTCTCTGTGAGTCCCTATGAGCCCTCGTTAGTTGATTCTTTGGGTTTTCTTGTGGTGCCCTTGACTCCTCTAGCTTCTACAATCCTTCCTCCACCTCTTCTGCAGAGTTCTCCTAGTTCTGCCTAATGTTTGGCTATGGATCGCTGACTCCCCTCCTATCAGTTGTTGGATGAGTTCTTTCTGATGTTTACTAGGCTAGGCACCAGTCTATGAGCATAGCAGAATATCATTAGGAATCATGTCATTGCTTTTTTCTTTTTATTTTATTTTTTGTCAGTCACGTTTGGGCCTATCTTAAGTATAGGGAGAGATGACTGGAATTGGGAATGTTGGGCTGTTGATGTGGAAACCAAGTGCAGTGGAAACTCCTTGGAATCTATGAGGTTGACCCTAGCAAAAACTCCTAGTCATGGGGAAAACAGAGTCTGAAATGGCCATTTTCTGTAACCAGACAAGGCTTCCAGTGGTGGGAATGGGACAACTGAGTTACAAAACCTTCAACCTGCAATTTGTGCTTCTTGCAAGATGTGCTGGGGTGAGAGTGGCCAGCCAATGACTGGTCTAACTCTAGGCCAAATTCACAAGAGCAAGCCCATTCCATACACTGCCTGGAAGGCCAAGAATCCAAGCTGGATAGAGAGATTGGTTGTTTTAAATCACAACTATGGAAATAGAAAAGATAGCAAAAGTGTTAGTGGTTTGGGCTTCTTCTTGGACATCTCCTCTTGCATTATAAATATCACTCCACAACTTGCCAGATTTCCATATATACTTTGGATAAGGTGCCCTCACCAATTTTAAAATATTTTTTCATTCAGCAGGTTGTCTTTTCAATTGATGTTTCTTTATAGGTGCAGAAAGGCATTGAGCTCAATTTTGTAGAATTTTTTCTCTTTTGTCTTTTGTTACTGTGCTTTTAGAACTGCATACAAGAAGACAATGCTAATAAAACTTTTCCCTATTTATTCTGGGAAGAATTTTGTATTTTAAAAACCCAGGATAGCCTAAAGAATCCTGTACAATAAAACAACCTCTGGAGGCATCATGGTCCCTGACTTCAAGCTCTACTATAGAGCTACAGTAATAAAAACAGCTTGGTATTGGCATAAAAACTGACATGTGGACCAATGGAATTGAATTGAAGACCCTGACATTAACCCACACCCCTATGAACATATAATTTTTGACAAAGAAGCAAAAAGGGTACAATGGAAAAAAGAAAGCATCTTCAACAAATGGTGCTGGCATAACTCGATATCAACGTGTAGAAGGCTGCAAATAGATTCATATCTGTCACCGTGCACAAAACTTAAGTCCAAGTGGATCAAGGACCTCAACATAAATCCAGCTACTCTGAACCTGCTAGAAGAGAATGTAGGAAGTAGTATTGAACGCATTGGCATAGGAGATCACTTCCTAACTATAACACCAGTAGCACAGGCACTGAGACAAGCAATCATCAATGGGACCTCTTGAAACTGAGAAGCTTTTGTAGAGCAAAGGATACAGTCAACAAGGCAAAGCAACAGCCTACAGAATGGGAAAAGATCTTCACCAACCCCACATGTGACAGAGGACTGATATCCAGAATATATAAGGAACTCAAGAAATTAGACATCAAAATGACCAACAGTCCAATTGAGAAATGGGC